ATATTAATATGTACAACTAAAATTACTAATAAAGATATGAGCAAGGCCTCACCTTAACACCAAAAAAAAAAAATTAATTGTATAAGTTTGATTTAATTTATTAAATTTATTAAACTCTGATTTTTAATTTAATTAATTATATTATTCATATATCTAAGCTTCATTAATATTTATTCTTATATTTAAAATCATACTTTTAACTGATAATAATAACAATATAATCAAATATAAAGTTAACAAATTATATTATTTTCTTAAGATTAAATATATTGTAATTAAATTCTTTCTTTAAAACTTGAATAATTTCTGGTATAAACTTTAGTATTATAAATATATAAAAAATATTATTTATGAAGTCTTATTAACTTATATAATAAAAGTTAATTAAAAATTTTTATTTAAAAATTTAACAATATTATTTATAAAATTTATTTAATATGTAAATATTTATTTAAAAGATGCATTCAAATTATTAATGTATATTTTACAAATATTCTATTTTGTTTTAATATTTATTGCAAAATGTATTTAAGTAAATAGATAATCATTAATATCTATTACTAAATCATAATTTAAATTAGCATTTGCATCTTTTTGTGCTTCATTTTCTTGATTTAATAAATTTTTTTCACTTATTAATATAATTATTAAAATTTGCAACATATTCATTTTCATCTATTTCATCTTCTAATTTTTTGGATTTTTTATATAAATATTCTTTATTAGATACTTGATCTTTAATATTCATATTTTTAGATTTATTATCAGAACTACATAATTTGATAAAGTTTGTATAATTGATACTGATAGAAAATTAAGTATAATGATACTATAATTTCTTTGTAATGTTTTTTTATTATTTTTCTAAGTTTTTTCTTAATTACATACTAATTACTATAATTAATTTAGCTATATTTTGTTTATCAGTTTATTAATTATAATTAGGATTAATTTAGCAAATGTAATATAGATAAATAAGTATTATTATGACCTATTTATTTTACTCTATAGTGCAATTTTGCTTATTAATGATGTGATTAACTTGTGTATTAATGATTAACTTTGATTTGTAATAATTTATATTTATATTTTATTTTTATTTTTATTATTAATTATATATCAGAATCTTCTAGATAGATTAGTAAGCCTTATAAACAAACTAAGATTTTATTTTTAATGTACTTTTATTCTTAAATTTATATACTTTTAAAAATTATTTAAATCTGACAAGATTACTTTAATAAAATTTAAGTATTTTTATTGGCAAAATTATATACAAAGTACTTCAAATAACAAAACCTTTATATTAAGGTCTAAAGCTTGCTCATATTTAATGTTTTTAAAACTATATATATTATAATTCTATAAATTAGTTCAGATTATTTGATAATTATATAATTATATAAGTGTTGCAAAAAAATCTGCTATTAGATTTTTAATTATCTAAGTACTATCTAAGAAAAATTATTATTAAGCTTTCAATTATATATATATTTTTTTTTCCTTCTTTGGCAGCCTTGCTATTAACCTTTATTAAGATTTGTATTTACAAATTTGTATATACTTTGACCTAATTTACTGGTTTGACATTTTCCGGCTGCTTTAATGAGTGCCCAGAGGCAGTTTGCCACACTGGTTGGGATAATAACCTGGATCCAGAGGCTGTACCAAACTAGCCTAAAAGACTATATGAAAATAGTCTTATTTTACTTTCTATATAACTTTTAATTGAACCAAACCATGTTTCTTTTATTTTATTATTTTCCACCTCTTTTAACTCCTTAATCTTCCTAGCAGCTTGGTTTCTTTTTACTCTAATCGGATTCTCTATTTGACTATGCATCTCTTTACTAGATAATTTCATCTTTCTTTCTGATTTTTTTCACTTTAATGACTGGTTGATGTTTATCAGCTTTTCTCATTTAATAGTCACTTCACATCTTCTTTTCCATATGTTTTTGTAAAACCCATTCTATGCTATATTAGTTACTATATTTAAAAAGTCTTTTGTTTCCTTAAGCAGCTTTAGCAGAGTTTATATTTGTTCAATTGTCTTTTCTTAAACTAGATATTTGATTATTCCTATTCTTGTTTCTTCTTTTTCTTGCTTGTTTACTTGCCAAAAAATTTCTTTAAGTT